CGGGGCTGAGTGGATTGTTGGTGCGCCGCTGTGACGGATGAGGTTGGTGATCCCAAGCTCTCGGATGACCACAGCCTCGTTGTTGAGGATCCAATCATCGCCGCCATATGTTGTTATGTCGTCACCGCGGGTGGGCAGCCCTGCGACCCGAGCGAAGGTAGCCAGATCAATCTCTATGTCGTAGAGATTGATGCTACTGCGAATGGTGTCCCCGTCCCGGCGGAGATTGGAGTAGAAGGCTCGCACAAAGGCGGGATTGAAGCTCGAGCGACTCCTGGAGACGAACGACCACAGACCCGATGCTTGAAGCTGATTGTCGAGGTCGTGGTACCCCTTTTGTTGAGGGTAAAAACTCGGGCAGCACCCTAGGCGGAGAAATGGGACGCTTGGCAAAGTGCGTGAGGAACCGGTTGAGTTCCTCCTCCGACCCGAACTCCAAGAAGGATCCGTCCAAATATGGGAACGGAGGAGGCGCGGAGCTTGAGGGTTCGGCGGTGCTTTTCTTCTTGGAAGCCTTTGACTTTGATCTTCCTCCGGCCATGATTGAGGCGGTTTTGAAGAAAGATTGATGAAATAAGTGGTATAGGCTAAAGAGATGAAATAATGATGTTAATTGTGTGTTAAAAAGGGAAGGGATGATGTGAATATATAGGGAGAGGAGGAAATCCCGTTTGAATTTTGAAAAAAAGAGCTGTTGGGCCATAAATGCTGTCTCCAACGGTTCTGAAATTTTGAACTTCAACCGCCTTCCCAGCGATGGTAGGATCTACCCATCGATGGGAAGGTCGCTACTGGAAAGCGAAGGAGAAAATCAGGCTGCCTTCCCAGCGATGTGTGGACTCTCCCATCGATGGGAAGGTGGGTTCTGGAAAGTGAAGAATAAAAGACGAAAGCCTTCCCAGCGATGTTAATACCATCCCATCGCTGGGTTGGTGATTTTGGGAATCCGTTTAAAAAAGATTTTAAAAAACATGTCAAACACCCAGCGATGGGAGAAAGTGCCCATCGATGGGTTGGGAGGTTCTGGAAAGAAATTTTTGAAACTAAAAACATTCACCCAGCGATGGGATGAAATACCCATCGATGGGTAAGGTGGTTCTGGAAATCCGTTAAAAATTTAAAAAAAAATAGAGTCAAACACCCAGCGATGGGAAAAAGTTCCCATCGATGGGAAGAGGGCTGCTGGTTAGAAAATACTTCTTTCCCAGCGATGGGATAAACCACCCATCGCTGGTTCCCCCTGAGTTCCTCACTTTGATACGTACCTGCAAAAAAAGCAACACTTTGGTATCCAAAGTATGTCTATGGGTCCTTGGGGGTAAGTTAACCTTTATTGCACACACACACACCCAAAATTCGTTTCCTAACGCACGCACACACACACACGATTAGATGATCGTTTAGGAGTTACCTTGGCCAACCCATGATCTCGTGGTTGGCGGGTTCCAGTCTACCTGAACGGAGTGCCGATATCTCGGTGTGATTTGTGTCGGTTCTGGTAACGGAATGTGGACATTCTTCTTTTCGTCAAAGTAGAAGAAATAATAAGGTTTCTTTTGTGCATTGTCCTGTGGAGATTGTTTATGATTCGAATATCCTTTTCCAAAGGATTTCTTTTCATTAGCACCAAATACGTTGTGTGTTTCATTGTAGGTGAAGTGCCTATGTCTGGTGAAACACACGGGAGCTATATGTCCTACCCTATTGCAATAGTGGCATACTACGTTTGGGTTGAACATGTGCCTAGGTTGATAATAGTTGCTAGGGGGCCTAACCATATTCATCCTATTTTGAGAAAATATTGGTTTTTGAAGATCCTCTCTTCTAGGTGTTCTAGCATTATTTTGTCTATTTGAAAAATTATTTGTGTCCATAAAATCATTTTGATAATTCCTCCTAGGTTGCCTAGA